TACGGTAAAAGATTTTTCAAAAAATTATGTTTTGTGGTTTGGCACCTTTAAAATGAGCTTCCTCGAAGAAGGTAGGATCTTCCCCTAGAAGCCCTACAAATTCAAATTTCTCCTTTAAATAAAGTGGAGTAGAAACATGAAATACAACTCAGTAGGTACAACATAGAAAGAATATACAAATTCCGGCGAAGTAGGATGGGAAATCACTTGAGACGTGTACGAAATTGAAAAACGTGGTCATATTTACGCATTTTTATTTTGGTATTTTTAAGATAGGGCATTGTGATTTTAAGGTAGGGCATTGCCCTACAATGCCCCCCCCCCCCCTAGCTACGGCCGTGGATGTGCGGCATAGGTCCAACTAGCAAGGCGCCTCAGCGCTCTCTGTTCAACGTGTGGAGTTGGAAGAGAACCGAAACAACGCCGTGTTTGAATTAATTTTAATGAATTGAATTAATATTTACAAATATCTTACTTCAATCAACAAATTAAGACAACAGTCCTTTTTATTTATCTATTTTACACCACTGATATTAATTTCATTAAGATTTGTTCATTTATTATATCTATTTTTTTAATTTGAATTTCACGTATAGAGGTAGGTTCGTGATTTTTTTCTATCGAGAAAATATTTCGAGTATATGTTTTAAAAACAATAGTCCATTAGAATGCAAGGTCAAGATTAACATATATTTTTTTTGCTTCTATAAAATGTATAGATTTTGTTAAATAATCTTTTGAAAAACCTATTTTTACAGCATACAGTGCCTTATTTTTTTTTTGTATATGGGAATACGTTACGAATAATTAGCGTAATAAGCGAGGGCGTTTTCGGCATACTATCTTACTTTTCTAATTATACGTTGCCGACGGTATTATCTGGGAAAGTCTACATTAAAATTGATTTTGGAATTCTATGGAAAGCTTCAAAAAGAGTTTCAATTATTCATCAAGCATAACAAAGTTAAAAATTATTACTGTCAAAACAGCTATCATGAATGTCATTAAATTGATGTAACGTCTTGAAAAAGTTTAATTAAAATTACAGAAAAATCGCAAAAGTTTTGAAATGTATTCGAACGATTTTCGTCCTTATTTTATGGTAGTCAAAAAAGAAGAAGAAAAGGGTGACAAGTTTGCCAGAATCAATATGGAAGTTAAACATATTGCTATTCAAGAGCCTTTAAATCCATTTACAAAGAAAACAGTTTTTACTCAAACTTATCCAACAATGCTCATTCCGGCAGCTCCAAGAAAGGCCTGCTGTTTTTATTGCAAATAAAAGTGATTTATGTACGGTAACGCAATATCAATAACGCTTTGTAAATAACTTTGTACCACGAACATTTGAAATAATGCAAGGCAATTTACAAAATACTTCAAAGGAAAAAAAGATATCGCTTATACAGGTTTTCTGCATAATCTGCGAAACATATTTAAGTGGCATTTTTGGAGCATCGGTGAAATTAATTTGTTACCACAAAATGTCTTCAAACCTTTATTTATTTTGCCTACAATCGTATCAGTACATATCGGATTATATGACAGTAGAGTTAATAGATTTACAGGATATAGAAAATAACGAAAAAATTTTACTTTCCGAATATGATGCAGTCTAATGGTCAGGGTCAAGTATATTTTTGTCGTTAACAAAAAGTTTTATCCATCTCTGTTTTTTACTATCTATTACATAAAGAGACCAGTAAATTTAGCATCATAACAGTTTTCTAAAATGTTTTTAGTACGAAAGCAAGTCGTTAATTTTACATACGATATAGAACTAAGATTATTATCATTATTTGTAATGAAAGTATTCACCTGATTTTAAATGCACTGTGGTTTTAAACGCACACAACTTGGGCTTTATTCCGATGTAACAGAGATTACGTAATTACGTGTAGAGTAATAGAATAATTTATGAAATCATTGCATTCTACAAGTCATCGTGCATGCAACTTTATATTTTATCGGAGTAATGATTTAAGTTTGTCATTATCTACAACTGCGTCGTATTTTCTTCCTTTGCTAGTATTTACTTGCTACGCTATAAGATGGAATCTATTGAAGATTATTATATACAAGGACATAATCTTTTGGGACGTCGCCGTGTTCAGGTGTGTTATTTAAATAATTAAAACATTTCAGTTAATTACATGAGGCAGTAAACAATATTTATGTTAAAAGCAGTAATTCGTTTAAGACAGCATTTTTATCTTCTGCACTTTCGTATGCTATATGGTTCATTTTACATTCCTAAACTATTGGTCTGTTATTTTCCTTGTTATGCATTTAAATCGATCATAAAACTATGCCTGCCTCATAAATAATGTATTACTAAATATTATAAAGTTTTATTTGTTATACACTGTATGCTGCGTCGCAGTATGCGATGCACTTCAATTATTGTAATATTTCTAACTTGGCACCGATCTTCTTTGAACTTTTAATACTAAGCATCGAAAAATGTATGAAAATCCTTAGTTTATAACTTAAAGTCACTAATGTTTTAATGCCACGATTAAATTGTTTTGTCTGCTGTGATTTTATTTTGACAATGATTTATCTTTTGCGTGTGTTGTTAACTGAAAAACATTCTTTATCAATATTTGCTTCTATAAAGTTTGCATGTTTGTTAATGAAGTACAATCGCTTTTTGAGGTACTCAATATTATTGTTGGGTTATTTTTAGCAATACGGCTAGTGTCGGGAGTGTACAGTAGTCAGCCATATGTAAGATATATTTAAAGGTACTTCCTAAGCGTCATAAATAATTACTAGTACTATTATATAAACCTGAAAATTATGTACAAAATTGAAACAGTACTGGGTTTAATTGTTACAGATGCTATAATAAAAGCAGTAGCTGTTATATTTTTTATCTATAAATATATAGCGGTCGCCCTGGCTTCGCACGGGTGCAATGTATTATACATATGACCTACCCCTTGAATTACTCTAGTAAAAAAACCGCATCAAGATCCGTTGCGTAGTTTTAAATATCTAAGCATACATAGGGACAGACAGACAGCGGGAGACTGTACACAGCATCAAGAGACGTTTACATTTTAAGTGACATTTTACCACATTCACTCACTTGTTTTGCCTTACCGGAACCCCTTGACTAACACTTAAACTTTATGGTATGGTATTAAAGTTCAAATTGACTTAAGTATTATTACGAATCTTTTGTACGGGTGTATAGAAAAGTGTTGTTTTTGACTTTTGCAGGTAGTTTTTTAAATTTTTCTCTCCGTAAGAACCATCTTCGTACTTCAAGGAATTTTATAAAAAAAGAATTAGCGAGATTTGAGCTTAGCAACACATTTAGCGATTCATTTTTATAATATAGATTAGATTTAAAACAGCAAAAAAAATATTTTACCCTTTGTTGGAGAGAATAAACTGATAATGTGGCTATGTTTTTATTGCTATCGAAGCTACGTGTAAATTTGTGTCAGCTAAAGGCGTGATACAACTTAGCTCCTTTTCCGTCAAGTTTATTGCTGACTATATTACTTAACGTGCAAACTAGTTTTTACCTTTACAAAAATTTGTGTGACCCACAGATAATTGATTCGGATGTGGGTGTCTGTCCACGTGAAATTTATGTTTGTAAAGTGTCCATAAAGCACAGTATAATGTAATCCTTTAGTAAGGGCAGTGTTAAGGAAACCAGTCCAGTGCCAGTGGAACGCGTACGCCGCGGGGTTCCGTACTAACCCATTATACCACCATAATAAAATTGGGAAATAATCACCACCGATTTTCCAAGGAACGGATAGCTAGGTCTATTCAAGTTGAAATTTACACTAGATATTGAGGTCTATTCTAGGTCCTTAATTTTTATACATCTAGTAGAGTTCCTATTAGGTACCTATATAAAAATAAAGGTTATAAGTCAACACGATAAAATTATGTGGGCGAATTTAGATTTTCGCGAAAACTTGTAATACCAAAATTTACCATAATTTTAAACAACCTTTATTTGTGGTACCTTACTAGTGGTGCCCGGTGGTGATATACGGACAGACGGACAAGAGTATGATCTTGTAAGGGTTCCTTTTTTCATAAGCCGTAAAAATCTCATTCGCAACCTGGTCACACTAATGGCGTAATTTCTACTATCGTTAAGTGTTCTCCATTATTAGGAATATTTTTAAATATAGTACGGGGGAAATACACTCGTAAATATCGGTTGTAGGTATAAAGCTTTTGAATTTTTTTTAAATACGAAATGGTACTTTTACATATATACCTAATATTTGTCATATACATTATTGATATTAATAATTTTGACCCTTTTGTAAACGTGTAATAAGTTCAAAAAATATCCACATTTTGATTTGAACAAAAGTTAACGACTTATCGTTTGCCAAAATTTTGCATTGAATATTATTTATACAAAATACACATTTCGTTCGATTACGATAATTTTTGTAAAGATAAAAGAGACCTGTGTAAAACAGGTCCTCGTAAACTAAAATTTATGTTCAAAAGCAGTACGTCCCGTTTTTTACCGGCGAAAAAGTTCACGAACAGGTTGAGACATACATACGGTACCGTTTTGAACAAAATTTTTATAATTCGTTTATTCCTTGACGCTAAAGGCATCGCACGTTTTGTGATCTTACTTTTATGAATCCCACGAAGTTTTCTATTGGAGTCTATGACGACATCTACGCCGTGGAGAGGAAAATCGTTCGACCTAGATTCGCTTGGCAGTTTTTATCGAGGACAAGATTCGCCATCACATATCAGTGATACGAAATGATTGGTTTGGTCTCCACAGCAGTTTCACAGTCGCAATAATTATCAACTTTGAGAGTTAAGCGGAGACGTCAGTACTCAGTTGCGCGCGCATCGGGTATTCGCGCGCTCGTCTTTGCGCAAGTGGGACGTGTGCCACAAACTATGCCACAGCGCGCAAAGTTTACAAACATTAAGTTGATATTCCAATAAAGTTACTGCATAAATTTAATTGCCAAGGAGCCGCAGGTAAAATGGACGTCAAAACTTCGGGGGTTAGTACAGCCTTATTTTATAGACCTCTACTCGCGTGCGAACATACTACACTTACTATACTGTCACCTGTCATCAATATCTTGTCGATGCAAGTGTTAATTTATTGTTTTGATTATGGTACGAAAGAACTTCGACGTTTTCTTTTTTATTTCATTTTTCTTTTAGTCTATCACTTTATTTTTACATATTTCAAAATGTGAAGCACTATTTTTTATAAAATCTGCTGAGCGTCTTAATCATGCTTTAATCATCTATCAAACACAATGTGGCCCACCATAGTCTCAATTCACAAATCTAACACAATTTTAAATTGTCCAATAGTCTCAAATCGACGACTTAAACGCTTTGCGAGTTCTTAAATGGCATTCGGTGAACAGTAAATCCTATATTAAGTTATATAATAAAAAAATTTAGTCTAGTACATTCACTTCGTATGTGCATGGCCAAAGCCAAAATGTATTTAGTTAATACAACCGTGTACAAAATTTGCGGGCCTTATATTAATGTGTAATATGTGTAATTATTTCTTTGACGTGTTAACATAATACATATAATTAATTCCTTCCTGTTCAGACCTAGACATTGAAACATTAAGAACCTATGTAGGAAAAAGTGCTACAGTCCTCGTTTGAAAATGTACATTGTGCATTCAAATAAGTTGAAGTTTACTGAATTATTGAACTTGATGTTTTTTCCTAATATATGTTTATTATATGATTTAGTTTGAGAAGTATACAGCGTGTCTTTATAATCGCGACAATAAATGAAAACACATATAGAGGATAACTTTTTAAAATTGTATTAAACATTTACTTTCTTTAATCATCAATATTTACAGAGTTATTAAATTTCTTTCTTTTTTTAAATTCCAAAACAAATAATTTTAGAACATCCTTACGTATAAAACTGTAACGTAAAGTTTATTTGTAAAGGGCACAAAACATATGAATGGGTTGAATGAATTTAAAAGAGACAAAACATGCTGTTAGAAGGAAAGGCTTGTAATGCGACGCTGTGGGAACGAATGAAAAAGTCTCTGAATGTATGAATCAGTCAGTTGTAGTTGTATAGGATGTTACAAATTTAGTTTCTTTTTTACTTAATTAGTTTGTTTGAAAAATATTTTTTTAAATTATGGATTTTTAACGTTAATATTTTTTTATGTTTATTGGCAAGTAGCGTTAGACGTGTGTCATTTATTGTCGCGATGGTAACGACACGCTGTACAAATAAATTGCTTGTTTTTAATCCATAATCTAATCTAGCACTGAAGCAGCCTCAGGCAGCCTCTTCTTCCCGTATAAGTCTAAAGTAAAGTGCAAACAAAAAATGGTCTCATGTTGCCATAGCTGCCATCCATCTTCTTAAATCTTCAGCTGTTACTTAAAAATAACTTTCGTAATCCTACAGTTACTAAAAATTAAAGAACACTATGAATCATATTATTAAAAAAATAACTGTTCACTATCGTTAATAATTTTTATTAATTTATAAGAGTAGTATTAATTAATTAGACCAAGTTTAACTTTGACGGTTCTTCTCTGCAAATTCATTAAAACTTCGGCAACGCATCTGCAACCCTACGGGTGTTATAGTTGTCAATTGGCGGCAGTTATCAATTTACATCAGGTCAATCGCCAGCTCGTTTGCCGGAGACTCTTTGTATCTCTGTTGTAGTAACCCATCTGTAAATCCTATATTTGGATCTTCAAATCTGCTACATATCTCAAAACTATCGATTATTCTTCTTTATAACACCTTCCTTCATCTGCTAATATAGAAAACATACCTCCATTTATTAACGATCCCACCTATTGTGATATGCTTGAATATGTTGTTTAAATCGTTTTGTATATCAACACTAAAATATGTTGAAAGTTTACCTTTTTTTAAATTCAGCCGTTTCATGGTGTCCCCTTAGTGAACCTAAGTCATTTATAATCTTTGACTGCGGAATGCATTTGACATTAATAGAAATTCGTAATGACGAATCAAATTGCTGGGGAAGTAATTGAAGACTTTTCATTCGTGAGTTTCAAAGGATGGCTGATTATTTTGTGGAGTTTTGTTAAAAGAAGCAAGTAGCCTCTCGCTGTGGCGCAAAATTCTATTTTATCCTATCTTAAAACGTTGTGTATTCAAAAATAAATAAACGGAATGTTTTGTATAATACTATGTAATAAAAACTAAGTATGTAAGTGTGAAGTTTCTTAGGTGTCCAGCATAGAATTTCGAATCAGTAACCCAAAATCCTGAGGCGGGCGTTACAGGATACGGAGGTTGGCATGGCCCACCCAGCCCTTTGCTATATACGCCTATGCTGTTAGTACATCCTAATAAATAATATGAGATCGCGCCCTCCTAAGTCTGACAATGACTGTATGGGATATCTATTGGGTGGAAGTCTAACATAACTTACAACGTTATTAACAAATTAAGCCGTGAAACAATGGATGTTGTACCATATTGGTAAAATAGGCAATGAAATGTTTGATCAATTGACCAACTATTGTATTGTATATTTTTGATTTATGACATTAATTTACTACATAACTGGTAATTAAACTAAACAGAATTGTTTTGGAATATGAAAAATTATTTCAATGAACGTAATCGCAACATAATGACTTACGGTATGCCTTGGTTCGTTTCATATTTTGAAATATGCGTGGAAAGACAATATCAACATGAGACTACAGGCCATCATAACCGCCCCCGACTTCGTTCTGGACACATTCGTTTGAATAAAATTGCTTCTACGTACGGAACGTATAGTATAAGAATTGTATAAAACTACAGTACACGTGAAAATATGTATGCCGTGTAAGAATCGATTGCGTCTGGTACAATCGAATTCAATCCATAATTTTGCCAGAGTGAAGTGTGTTTCAGTGTCCTTCCAAGTCCTACCCCAGATCTTACCAGAATGATATATATGATGATTAACTTAGTAATCAAAACGCAGGTGCTTTTAATTGGCACATATTAATCTGTCTTTGTAACTTTGTAACTACGATGACGATGACATAATCCACTAAGATAAAAATTTTAAAATTCGGATGGTGGTAGGGGTAGTCGTAATGATGTCTCTATTAATATTTTATAACAGTAAGTACTCCAAGGAGTTACATATGGTTTTCCACAGAAGGAAAAAGAAAGGAATGGGTAGAGTACTATTTATTTACATAATGCTTTTACTCGTAAGTCGAATTATTCCAAAAATAGTTTTTTTAATAGTGATCATAGAGTACTCGAGAATACTAGAGGCGTAATAGTCTAAAATCTAAAAGAACTCAGTGAGTTTTAGGTAACTCTTTGGTTATCTAAAATTAATTGAGAAAGATGATTGCCATATCAATATTTATTTATTCCTTTGAAATTACCAGTAAAGGAAAAATGGTAGTTCCAAATACCCAAGACAAATATTATTAAATTTCTTTCTACATATAGCAATTCTGTGATTTATTTCTACATTTAAATTTAAATAAGACATAGTGTGTAACAAAGTCTAAAAAATTATTATCGTATAATGTCATTCGTTCTCGCTACACTCAAATATACATAATTATGAGACACGTGCAAAACATAATATTAAAATATACCTACTAAATATTTATTTATTTATTAAGGTTTACCAGCAGGTGCTACACCCAAACAATTTATATTAACAGTACAGTAATTATAACTAAGTGTACAACTTTTTTAAGGTAAACACAACATGCACACATAATGTATAAAAAAAGTTAAATGAATGAAAAGCCTACTTTATTACATTAAAAAAGAGACAAAAAATAATAAAAAAATTAATCGTTTTCTAATAAGTAGTAATTTACAATAAGTAGTTGCTAATGTTTAGCAAAAAAGATAAAATTTATTTGGAAAAAAATTATAAAAAATCAATTAAAAAGATCAATACAATATACAAAAATGAATAGATATTGCTTCATTGTACAACTCGTCTGCAAATACATAACTGTTCTAATATAAAAAAAATGGTACTTTACTAAACATACGTTAAAAAATTACGGTGTAGGATATTGGAAATGATACTATCGCGAAAATCACCGGTTATACCGGTTTATTAAATTTAAATCTTTTGAACATAATAAAATGTAATTTTATTTATATTCGTAAATGTTGAGTAGAATAACTATTATTTATGGCTTTTTTCTTACTTTTTTTAATCCGTGTTTAACAACATGTTAATGGGGTAGTAATAAACCTATAAACTTTCAATACTACCCTCTTTCGAGACTTTGTGTAAAGGTCGATATGGAAACAGAGTACACTTCGTCCATTACACAACCGTTTGCAATTTACGTCAGGTGAATGTTCTCATTTAGTAATATCGTAAGCCGCTCTCTCTTTTTTAAATAATTAAACTTAAGTTTAATTTTTAGACGCAATATTTTTATTAATTAAAATAGGCTTATCGGTCGAGTTGAATCTGTAAATATTGACCTAGGTAGAGACTATTTTATCTTTACTATTGTATCACACGTTTTGTTTTTTACTTCTAGGGTTAGGTTACATCGCGTTGCCAATGTTCCACAATGTTTTATACAGGTATTCATCGAATTACAATATTTTCACAATGGAGCTATTGCAGTTATTACTTACGATTCTCACTTTTGGACTGCTACCCAATTATTCATTATAGTTCAAGTAATTTTCTTTGATTAAGGCATGCTGCTAACTCTCATTATGAATGGTTATTTAACCATATTTTAACTAATCGGTCCGCCGTCGTTGCTCTTTTTTCGTTAATATAAATTTGTGAACCTTAATTTCAATACAAGAAATATGTTAAGTGCATATTACTTCAATTAATCATACCGTTCACTAGTTCACTGTTCGTGTATCGTGCCCTTTAAGCTTGGGGTCTTTACATTTAAGTAACTCACTAATTTACCTAGGACTAGTTTTCTATGTACCTGACATCCCTGGCATGGTAATATAATCGTGTTTTAATCTATGTATATGTAAATTCTTATGCGAC